GAGTGGAATTTGAACAGCTAATTCATAGTTAGGAATTTTGGCACCTGGGATAGATTCTATTGGGACAGAGTAGGGTATATGGAGTGTGCTTACTTGATATAAACCAGATAATGGTAGTGGGGTCTGAGGAGGCCACAGTGTCAAAAGGGTAGAAAAGACTCAGTCAAGTGCTGAACTTATTGGGGAAGAGAAAGAGTGACTTGGTAGTCCACTGGTGACTGAAACAGGTCCAAGATAGCATAGTTTCAATGAGCAACAGATGACTGAAGTAATGTAAGAGTAAAAGACTAGGACAAAGGAGAGTTTGTTAATAATAAACAAGGATTTCTGAGGACACAGTAGAGGAAGTGCAGAGGATAATAGGGACTGGGGAGTACTAGGACTAAGTTTACCATGGGGGAGAAGTGACAGTCTTTTTTTTTTTAATTTGGTTTTTTTTTTGTTTGTTTGTTTTGTTTTTTAGGCAATTGGGGTTAAGTGACTTGCCCAGGGTCACACAGCTAGTTGGTCTGAGGCCGAATTTGAACTCCGGTCCTCCTGACTTCAGGGCCAGTGCTCTATCCACTGCGCCACCTAGCTGCCCCTTGGGAAGTGACAGTCTTGAACACTACTTTGCCACTAATCATATACTGACCGTAGGAGTCCCTAAGAGCCATCATGTCAGGTAGTCATGGAAAAGAGTCTATAATCATAGACTCTTGAAGAAAAACCTAAGGTCGACTTCTGCTTCCTGAAGCCAACATGGTGGAGTAAAAAGGTAGTCGCTCTCATCCTCCCCTATCAACCTCTGAGAGCCCAGAAAATACAGCCCCAGGAAAAACCCTGGAACAGCTGAACCAGAAGAAAGACAGGGAACAGCAGTGCAGTAGCCCAGATAGCTTGAGGGATTAACAGGAAAGAACCCTCTTGCCCTGGGGGAAGGGGAGCAGCACTGAATGGGAGGTGCCCCAGCCAGCTAGCGGAAAGCCCCACTTTAGCACACCAGGAGGAGATCCTGGTGCCTTGGCATTCTACAGCAAATGGGTCTCCCAGTGCCTCAGCAAAAATAAGGGAAGCAGCACTACAAAGGGCCCCAGGCAGATAAACACCTTGCAACATTTATCTGAAAAGAGCTGAAGAAAGCAATTTAGAGTTGCCTGAAAGCTCCAGCCTTGCTGATTCCAGCCCAACACCAGGTAAGCTGCCAGAACCCTATAGCCTCTAACTGTCAACCAGGAGGAGATCCTCAAATGCAGGAGGTGGAGCAGGCAAACACCAACACCTGGACCTCCGAGTGCCTCAATGAGGATGGGGTAACTGGTGGAAACCACCTCAGAAAACCACCAGGTGCCTTGGCATTCTACAGCAAATGGGTCTCCCAGTGCCTCACCAAAAATAAGGGAAGCAGCACTACAAAGGGCCCCAGGCAGATAAACACCCTGCAACATCCACCTGAAAGGAGCTGAAGAAAGCTAAAGGAAAGGAACAGCAGGCAACCTAGAGTGACCCAAAAGCTCCAGCCTTGCTGATTCCAGCCCAACACCAGGTAAGCTGCCAGAACCCTACAGCCTCCAATTGCCAACATTGGAGGCCCCAGCACACAAAGCCAGTGACCAAGACCTAGGCTCCCAACACAAGAAGCTTGGATCAGTGCCCTCCGCTCCCCAGAGGGAGAGCTCAATCTCTTTAAAGGCCAGGGAAGAAAGACACACCATGAGTAAAAAGAAACATATCATAGATGCATATTATGACAAGAGTGAAGATCAAGGCAGAAATTCTGAAGAGAACAACATTGTCAACAAACCCACATCTGCAACCTCAAAAGGGAATATGAACTGGTCTGAAGCCCAAAAAGCCTTCTTAGAAGAGCTCAAGAAGGATTTTAAGTCAAATGAGAGAGGTAGAAGAGTCCTTAAAAAATACAATTGGCCAACTGGAAAAAAAGTAGACTGAAGAAAACAAATTCTTTAAAAATACAATTGACCAATTGGGGAAGGAGGTACAAAATCTAATAGAAGAAAACAATTTGTTAAAAATTAGAATTGGGCAAATGGAAGTAAAGACTCTATGAGAGAGCAAGAATCAGTCAAACAGAAACAAAAAAATGAAAAAATAGATGAAAACATAAAATACCTCATTGGTAAAACAACTGACCAGCAAAGTCGATCCAGGAGAGACAATTTAAAAATTATTGGCCTACCTGAAAATCACTATGAAAAAAAGAGCCTGGACAGTATCTTTCAGGAAATCATAAAGGAAAACTGCCCTGAAGTCCTAGAACCAGAAGGTAAAATAGCCATAGAAAGAATCCACCTATCATCTCCCGAAAGAGATCCTAAGTTGAAAAGGTCAAGGAATATAGTAGCCAAGTTCCAAAATTACCAGGTCAAAGAGAAAATACTGCAAGCAACCAGAAAGAAACAATTTAAATATCATGGAACCACAGTCAGGATTACACAGGACCTTGCAGCTTCTACATTAAAAGATCATAGGGCATGGAACATGATATTCCATAAGGCAAAGGAGCTTGGATGACAACCAAGGATAAACTACCCAGCGAAAATGAGCATGATTTTTCAGGGGAGGAGATGGATATTCAACGAAATAGGGGACTTCCAAACCTTCCTGATAAAAAGACCAGAGCTCAACAGAAAATTTGATCTTCAAGTCCAAGACTCAAGAGAGACATAAAAAGGTAAATGGGACAGAAAGATACGATATGTTGTTAATAAGGGCAAACTGTTTACAGCCCTACAAGGGAAGATGACACTGGAAACTCTTGAGAATTATATTGTTATTACACCATGTTAAAGGAGTATACATAAATGGGGTGGATATAAGTTGACTTTGATGTAATAATAAAGAAAAAAATCTAATCAATGGATCCAAGTAAGTGGATTAGTCTGATCTAAGAAAATGTATTGAGAAAGGAAGAGGTAGACAAGGGTAAATTACATTATAGGAAAAGACACAAAAACCTATTACAGCAGAGGGAAAGAAGGGAGAGGGATGAGCATCGTTTGAACCTTACTTTTATCAGATTTGGTTCAAGAAGGGAATCACATAATCAGTTAGGCATAGAAATCTAATTTACCCTATAGGCAGTAGGAGGGAAAAGGAGACAAAAAAGGAGGGGGGAGAGAAGAAGCAGTAAGGGTAAAGGGAAAGAAAAAGGAAAGGATTAATAGAAGGGAGGAGGGACTGAGGGAGGCGGTAGTCAAAAGCAAAACACTAGTGAGGAGGGAAAAGGAGAAAGGAGAAAGAAAAGCAAACGGGGGAGAGAGGATGGAGCTATTTTTTTTTCCTCTTCTGTTGAGTTTTGTTTCCTCTTTCTGGTGGTTCCTCCTATTGGTTCTAATTTTTACTTACAACATCACTAATCTGAAAATATGTTTAATAAGAATGTATATATATAGCCTATATCAAATTGGGTGTCGTCTTGGGGAGGGTGGTGGGGAGGAAGGGGGAGAAAAATTTAAAACTCAAAAGCATACGGAAGTGATTGTTGATAAATCAAAATAAATTAATAAAAAATAAAAAAACAAATAAATGTTTATTACAAGAAAAAAAAAAAGAAAAATCTAAGGTCAAGGGACCCCGTGAAGTGCTAACTTTGGGATGAGGAAAGAGGACAGGCTGGTCAAGGGAATCAGTCAGTTGAGAAATCTACCACACTTTGAGCGAAAAGTATCCCCTTCTGAATGTCAGCACCTGTGACAATGCCTTGGCCACCTTGTCCTAGTTCTAGCTCTGCTGAACACTGGTCATTCAGGCACTGCAGTGTTATCTCTTATACTTAGGTATACTTTCTCACTGAATAAAACCAATAAATATTTTTAAAAATTGAGCTTCAAAACACCTACTATTTAAAATATAATGTAAGCACATCTTTTGCCCTCCCCACCTTTAATTCCATGATCATTTATTAAGTACCTACTATGACAATAATCAGGGATATTTAAAATTAAACTTTTAGGAAATAGTGTCACAAACTTTCTCATGAGTGACACTTTCCAAAGAGATGCACCAACAAATGAATACAACAAACTTAACAAGAAAGGCAATGAGATGTAGTGAAAAAAGCACATGTGGGACCTAGAGTCAGAAGACTTGGGTTTGAGGCCCACCTCCACCATTTATCAGCTCTGTGACTTTGAATAAGTCAGATCCTGAGTCTGTTTCCTCATCTATAAAATGGGGATAACCCAATCTATCTCACAGGGTTACTGCAAGATTGAAATGACATGATGCCATATTTATTATTATTATCATCAATATAATTGTAGTAGTAGTTGTAGTAGTAGTAGTACTTGTTGTTGTTCTCATCTTTTTTGATCATGTTCAACTGGAAATGGTCCTAGGACAAGTCACTACTGCTATCATTCTTTTAACATGCTGTGAACTAATGCACAGGTGAATAAAATAATTGATTTTTGTTATTAAAGAAAAGTATTGGGAGATATCTTCTGGAATTTCAGTGAAGCATTAAAAGCATCTTTGAGACAGCTCCAGGAACAGAAGAGATGATAGGGATGATCTGTACCTTCATCTTGTCCCCACACAATTTTGATTTCTTCTACTAGGTCTCTACATTTTGAAGAGTTTTCATTCTATGTAGCTTGGAGGTTATGAGGTTTTGGTACAGTGACAGCTACTATAAACATCATTCTTTAATTTTTGTAGATCAATATTATGTCCAAAGATTTGGAGCAATAGCTCTACCTGGAAGAATGGCCCATTCCTCGTTCAGTTCATTTACAGAATTCTCAAGAATATTTGAAGTTCTGTATTGTTGCACGGGGATTTGCTGTCTATTAGTTTACAGAAGATAGCAAATGTCTGACATGGAATGCTACCCACCAGGTCATGCCTTGCAAGCTATTTGCCTGTCCTTAAGAGTGCTCCTTGATAGTGCCACCTTTCCTCCTATAGTTCTTACCATGGCATATACTATCATGGGTAAATTCTGCAATGTTTTCATACTTTCAGCCAAATACTATGGAAGAATGTACATTAAATACGGGCTTTTCAAAAGCCTTGTCTAAATACGCCAAGCTCCTATTGCAAATTATTTAAGACATTGGTTTTATTTTTGTGTATTCTGTTTTGTTCCTGGTAGAGTCTCTCAAGTGATTATCAGTGACCCGTGGTTCTTCAGCTTTTCTCTCTCTAGAATTTAGTAGCTCCTAAATCTCACTTCTTATTTAAACTAATCTGGATGTAGGGTTGAAATTAATTTCTTATGATTGCCTGGCATTGCCCTGCAATATGTTATTTTGTAACTTGGAGCTAAGGGTACCATTGATAAAAGTAATTCTTGAAAGCCCTTGCCTGTATCCACTAAGATCTCTTTCTAATTTTGATATGATAGCGTATATTGTATACTATCTTAGTATATTGTATGATATATGATATAATTAATAATAGCTAACATTTATATAGCACTCTAGGGTTTACAATGCACATTCCACGTATTAATTCATTTGCCCTTCCCAGCAATCCTCTGGGGTGTGTACAATTATTAGCCCTTATTTTTCAGATAGGGAAACTTAAACAGAGAGGTTAAGTGACTTGTGCAGGGTCACACATCGATTAAGTGTCTGAGGTAGAATTTGAACTTAGGACTTCCTGACCCTAAATGTTGTTCTCTATCTACTGTGCCACCTAGATTCCCCTAATTAATAATTGTCATAATAATATTCTATTTTATATTCTTATGTAATTCAGATAGAAATAGTCCTGGTATTGTTATTGTGATCATTTAGCACCTACTACACTCTCAGCCCTTTACTAGATACTATGGGGGGGGGAAGTTTTAGAAGAAATGGATCCCCTCCTTGAAGGAATTCTCAACAAGATTTTTGGTAATACATGTCTAACACAAATGAAACAACAATTAATAATACAAGATACTTATAAATGACCCTTACATTGTGTGCTAAGAAGTTCAGAGAAGGTTAAGATCATTGTCTGCTGGATTGGTCAGGGCAGACCATGTAGGCAGAGGTCTTTGAAGGATGAACAGAAGTTAGATAGGCAGAGAGGACAGGTGGAGTTCATTCCTTTGATACAATATAACCAAAGACAGGAAAACAGACATAAATGTGGAATGGATAGTAAGGAGACAACTTCAACTAAAGTAGAATGTACCTGTTGGAGAGTAGTTGGAGGAAATGAGGTTGTATCTTGGATTGTGAAGGGCCTTGAAAGTCCAGCAAAGATGTGTAGATTTGACACAGGAGAACACAGCATGTGATTGGGTGTCACAGAGTGTCATTTGAAAGGAGAGTGTTGCAATGAATATAGCATTTAAGGAGTAGCTATGGAAAGACCTACATAGAAGAATAATGTTGGTGGATCAATGAATTAGTATAATCACTAGTAATAGATAGTAAATTGGGACTTATGCCATGTGACTAATTTTTTTTTTTTTTACTCACAGATCTCACTGCTGGACATATGCCCCAAGGGGGCCAAAGGCAGAAAGACTCCCACATAAACAAAATTATATATGGCAACTTTCTTTCCTTTTTTTTAAAAGCAAAGAACTGCAAACAATAAAGATGCCCATTGATTTTGGCTTGTGAATGTACAGTGTAATGTATACTGTAAAAATAATGAATTAAAGGATTCAGAGAAACATGGGAAGACTCATATGATCTGATACAGAGTAAAGTAAGTGTAGCCAAGAAAACAATTTGCATAATGACAATAACAATGCCATTGGAAAGAGCAACAGCAACAACAAAATGAAATTGAAAGCTATATAATTATAAAGACTAAGTTCCTTAAGAAGAGATGAAGAAAGGTACCACACTCCCTTCTTTGCAGAGGTGGATGACTGTGGGTGTTGAACATCATTTATACTATTAGACTTAGTTGATGTGTTGCTTAGTTTTGCTAAACTGCTTTTTTATTTATGGTTACAACAGTAGGCTTCCTGAGGACAGAGGGAGGTATAGATTTGGTAATGATGGTGATGTAAAAACAAAAGATACTAATACAAATTCCAAAAGCATAAAAATTAAGTGGCATTGAAGGAAAGTTAATTTCTCTCCTACTAAAGTCCTTCTTCAATGCCTTATCATAGTAGCCCAGGGCTCCTAAAGACTATATGGGATGTCATAGAAAGTCTTAGTGCCATCTAAAGCTTTAATATCTTAACTTTTAATAGCTTAAACTGTCACTAAGATTTTCTGGAACACTGTGTGTGTGTGTGTATAACATTTTTTATGCTCATTATGTACATTGTTTTCCTGGGTATGCTTACTTCATTCTGTATCAGATCACATAAGTCTTCCCATGTTTCTTTAAATCCTTTACAGCCATTATTTTTTTATAGTGTACATTATACTGTACATTCATATGCTAAAAATCAGTGGGCATCTTCATTGTTTCTAGTTTTTTTGCTATTAAAAAAGTATTGCTATGAATATTTTGGTTTATATATTTATGTATGGATGTATATACACATACATATGTATATGTATGCATATGTGTGTATATACATATATGTGTATATATGTATGTGTATATATGTGTGTGTGTATACATATATACACACACACACACATATATATATATATATAAAACAAGGAAGCAACTAAAACTTTTTTTACTCAGAGATCCCACCACTGACCGTATGCCCCAACAAAGACAGAAAGATGCCACATAAACCAAAATATACACATATGTATATATGAACATGCACATTGATGTGTATGCATACATGTATGTATGCACCCGTGCACTTATACACACATGTAGCTCCCTCCTGAAGGACACTGAGAAACTGAGACCTATGCTAGTGTAAGCAGCTGCCACTCTAACGAAACCACTTGTCTTTCTGAGAAGTGAACTAATTTTTCAGCAGCTTGCAGGATAGCTTCTGCTTGTTCTCCCCTTGCCTCTTTCCCACTGTGTTCAATTGATCCATGCTACTAACTAAAATTTATGGCTCCAGCTCTTCCCTCCTGGAAACCAGGAAACAACTCTTTCATGAATCTACATTTTGCACTTATCTTCTGGCCTTTTCGGTTGAGGGCAATGTTGGTGCTGGTGCTAGTGCTAATGCAAGATTGTAGGTGCAAGCAATTGTACTCAGGAAGGATAATTGCAATCATAATCAGTCATTTGCACCTTCCAGCAGAAGAGCAAGTGATTAATTGCATCAGAAATCATTTCATTAACACAACTAATAAAAGGTGTCATTATGTTTTCAATTAATGCCTTTTATCTGAGGATTTCAATGGGGTTTTAAGTATCTCTACAGCTTATATAGAAAGTCCACATTTTCACACGGGCATCTGGTGCTCAGGAAGATTCTAGGTTTAGGAATTGTGGGCATATACTTTCCCATTTCATGCACATACCTTCTCTCTTTCTACCCCACTATACTCTCATCCCCAAATAGGAGCAAATGTTGAAAGCTATCTCAACGAGAAAACTTAATCATCCCTATTGCCGACAGATGGAATTATCCCCCCAAATTATTTGTAGGAGAACAGACGGTTCTATTCTTTTAGAGAAGATAGTTTAAGAAGAGATGCTACAAAAATCCGAATACTTAGGTCCTAGTCTCAGATCTGACGCTTACTAGCTATAGAATTTTTTTTTCATTTTTCTGTTTTTCTTTTGAGTTTGAAATATAATACAATATATGCATATAGAACAGTAGGAAGAAAAGAAAATATAGGGAATATCCTTCTGTATGATTTTTTGAACATGTTTTTCCCTTCTGAGGGCAATATTGCTCCTAAGTAGCATGTGTGTGTGTGTGTGTGTGTGTGTGTGTGTGCCATGAACATGAGGCTTTTTGACCCTTAGTTTCCTCATCCATAAAATGGAGATTATGTTACTGGTCCTTCCTACCTTGTAGATTTATTGTGAGGAAAGCATTTTGTAACTCTCAAAGTGTTATAGAAATGTCATCATCATCACCATCATCAATGGAATTCTTAGCCTGGGGACTGCGAACTTAATCATTTTTTTTGATAATTCAATATAATTAGTTTCCTTTGTAATCCTATGTGTTTTATCTTATGCATTTTTGTGAATGGATCTATAGGCTTCACCAGACCATCAAAGGCATCCATGACCCCCAAAAGTTTAAGAATACCTGTTATAAATACATATGGGATGCAAAGAAATTGCTCTTAGCCAAGAACTTTTGGGCCAGTCACCCAACCTCCTTGAGTTTTCAAGTGCTTATCAGCTAAAAAAGGATTATTCTAGAACTACAGAGCTAGAAGAAATAGATCATAGTTCCTGCCCTACCTAGTTCAACGGGTTGTTTTAGGGATCCAATGGAATATGTTCATGAAAACATTATATACTATAAAGTATTACACAAATGTCAGGGGTTGTCATTTCAAGCATCATGTGATGATGCTCTCACTATCTTTTAAGGTGCCATATTGCTACATCAGGTAGCCATTATAATGATAAATTTTCTTTTTTCAAATATCAAACTTCTGACTCCTAAAATATCCCTTTTCTGTTATTCTTTCAGGAAAGTCAAAATTTATACTCACCAAAAAAGCAAAAAAAAAAAAATAGCCCTTTATTTCAATGAAGACGATTACTAATTCTCCCATGAGTCTTTCCTTTCCAGCTTCTACCACCCTACTCCTTTATTCATGTTGACCTATTATTGAAAACCTCAGTCTATTCCAATCAATATGTTATCCATCATTACTAAACTGGACTCTCATGATGACGGAACAGAAGCAGGGTGACTTTTGTGAAAGAATTATTTTTCTACACAACATTATCCCATTTACAGTACTTTCATTCCCTAGTTCTTTGGGAAACTTTTTATATGTTATTTTATTTTCCAGTTACATGTAAAAAACAATTTTTAACATCTGTTTTTAAAATTTTTGAGTTCAAAATTCTCTTCCCTCCCATCTCTCCCCCTCCCTAAGACAGCAAGCAATTTGATATAGTTTATACACGTGCAGTCATGCAAAACATATTTCCATATTAGTCATGTTGTGAAAGAAAACACAGAACAAAAAAAAACTTTGGGCAAATTTTAAGGAGGTTTTGCCTCTATTGTGTGAAAGAGATCACAGCAATATTTCTACTGTCTAGTTCTTTCTTTAGGAGACAAAAACCATGACAGATATATCCATGCATCTATTCTACCACAGGACACAATTGTTTTCTTTACCTTATGAACAGAGTGGGGAAAGATCTTTTCCCCTACCAATAATCGGACTATTGCATCCCATCTCTCCATGGCCTGGTAGTCCCACGCGGTCACCATGAAGGCAATCTGTCTAGGGGGGAGTTGCATCTCCCGGGCAGCAAAAACTGTCCCATCAGCCCCCACTTTGAAGTCCAAGTTGTTGGTCTCATACTGCACTCCCTTGGAACTGCTGCAGCCGCTGAATTTTACTAGAAGAGAGGTTAAAAAAAAGGAGACATGTCATGTTATTACCCTCGATCAGAAAACAACAACAACAAAAATCACACACAAATCCAATATGCATCTTCATAGGTTTCATTTTTCCATGGCATGTTTTAGAACTCAAAGAAACATGGAGGGGAAGTGATTTAACTGTTATTTTGACCTTCAGTAAGGTTTTCTCTTTTATCTTCATACTCAGGAGAATTGGCTGCTGGCTTTAAAAAAGGAGGAGGAGAGGGGCACCTGATACAGTTTCATTATATCGAAAACACAGCTGTTCTCCATTTCTACAAATGGATTTCTCTCTTGTCACTATGATCTCAGAATTCAACTGTAGGCTATTAACTACAGGGTGGGTATTTTCTACATGAAATATATTCCTTGCTTCAATAGCCTGCCTACCATATGCAAACCTCTCTTCTAGATAAATGGATGCCTAAAAACCCTTAATTATTGTAAATTGTTCCAAGAGAAGGCCAAATGCAGGGAAGGTTTAAAAAAAATGGGGGGTGGGGAATGCAGTCTAAGAAATATTATATGATATCAGGCAGACCACCAAAGGAGAACTGTAATCCCACGCTCAATGACTATTCGGCTTTGCTAATGAGAGCCGTCACACAACTCCAAGGCCCACAGCAAAATGCAATGCACAAGACTTTCCAACAGGACTAGACAAGAGCAAAGGCAGCAGTTGGGAGGGGGTCTAAAGGGGGTGGGAGTAGAGGGAGTATGGGAAAACACTTCACTGGTTAATTGAAAATATAAAATTAAAACAGATATTCCATTGACACGGCTGGGAGCAGCACATACCGCTTTGCTTCCAAAACATTAATTAGCCAACAGAATTGATAGCACACCTCTTAATGATTTCAGGATTGAGCCCATTTTTAACTCTGCTATGGAAAGAGAAGCTTATTTTTTTTCCAAGCTGCACATTCATTTAACTCACATTAGTACATTTTTTATATGTATATGCTTTTGAAGCCACCACGGAATGTAGCAGTAAATTATGAGGCACCCACAACAAATGTCACATTCTGTTGATAAAAAAAAAATCCTCAAACTCCACGATGGATCAAGTTACCTAGTATTTATAAAAATGTGCGGATCTAAGTAATTATGGTAGGAGGATTAGTTTTTAAGTAATTTTTCTGTCATACATCCATGATTTAATTACTATTCTAAAATAGCAACAACAAAAATAACTACTCACTGTTTCATTGGAAAAAAAGGTTCTCCCTTCCAACCTTTCACCTTTTATTGTTTCTTTCCTTGAAATAATCAATCATTGATAGATTCCCTTAACACTCTTATACTTCCCCAGGTACCTCTGTCTTTTACCTCTTGGATTAAGAAAATAAATGTTTCTAAATATACAGAAAATGACTCTTGTCATTTTTTTTCCCTGGGCATAAGGACAAAGTATGTCCAGGGTTCACAGAGTTTCACAAACAGTTACTTTAAGTGAACGGGTTGAAAATAGTGGCTCCAGTGAGAGGTGGTAAGACGGATAGATTTTTCACTTCTTAATGAGGAAATAATTACATTTTTTCAAGTGAGAGGAGAATTCTGAAATGCTGTGATAGTTACCTTTCCCAACAGTAAACATATTAAAGTCAGCTACAAACTGACTGAATCAATCACTTCTGACAACACACTGTCATTGACAGGAACATGACAGTTACATGATTGCTGTGAAATCCATGCAAAATACATTAATAAAATCTTTTGTTCTGGAAAAGCAGATCTCTAACAAAACAAAGTGTTTCTACCAGCCCTAGAGAGTCAGCAATGGAGATTGAATTTGGCATCAGAGAATCCAGGCTCATACCCTAACTGCCCTACTGACTGGTTATATGTCCTTGGGTCAGTCACTTTCCCCTCTCTGGGCCTCTATACGGAAAACAAGGAGTGGGACCAGATGATCTCAAGGGTTCATTCAAACTCTAAATACTATGAAACTGTGATAAAACTGTATGCTTCCCTTTAAGTAAATCCAACATACAGAAATGTATGTAAATAAAAAAATAAAATGGATGGAACTTGATAGAACAATTTTTCACCTTTTAAAAGGAGTAAAAGGAGTTTACTTAGAGTTCCTCTGTTGAACTTGAATATAACTTGAATGTATATGTGTGTGTGTGTGTGTGTGTGTACACACCCTTATATTTCATCTCTTTTTAGGAGATCATGCTGGTGATAGAAATCAAAGTTCACCTATACACAAAAATGAAAATGAGGGAGGATGAGTGTTGTGCACATTTATCTATATCTATATCTACATATGTGTATATATGCACATCACTTTACATGAATACACACGGAATATGTATCTACACACAGATGCTGCTCCTGAGAGTCAATGACACATAACTTGTCATGGGACTGAACAAGCTAATCTAGGTCCTGTTACCTCAGCTGCTCTGTTTGCAGAGTTTGGCCTGTAGTAAGCAGCTGAGGCCTCTGCCCACAAGGTCTAAAGCTGCTTATGGAATTATCTTTCATCCTCCGTGAGCTGTGGATTGCTTGCATTCAAAAACCCCTGCCTCCATTCTCCTTTCCCCCAACCTTCAACAGCATGCCAGTCTGTCAGCACTGTCAGCTACAGCTGGTCTCTCAGTTGTGCAGAGGGTCCCAATGCCCTGATTCAGTGTCACCCCAGAGTTCTTTGAGCTGACCACCTGCTATGTGTCTGCTTTCCTTTAGTCCACCAGGGTATTCTGCTTTTACCCATTCTTCTCACCGCAGGACTACTGGATTGACTTTCTGTGGTCCCTGCTACAGGGCCGGTGGAGTGGCTGAGTTCCAGGAATGTGCCACGGGAGCCTTTGTCCTCCTCTTTGATGGGGTGTGTGACACTGGTTGATTCAGTCTAGTGGCAGAGCTGAGAGATGGCAACAGGCCTGTATTTTTCACAAAGGCACAGTGATGAGGTTACTTCCCTGCAGATGCAGATTTCCTCTAGATCCACGGACCACATCAACAGCCTGCCTGTCAGAAGAGATGCTAGTTCCTTTTGTTTCACTGGTCATCCCCTTGTCATGAGACCACATGTGCTGGTTTACCCAGATCTTCACTTGAGAAACCTTAAAGTTCTATATAGTGACACTGATTCCAACTTGTGGCTGGGGTAGGTTTTTTAACCTTGGTAAATGCCATCATTAACAACTACCATAAGACTTTATACAAAGGCATTAAAAATGGTTTGTTGAGTGAATGAATCAGGTATATCAGATATAAGGACACATATACAAAAATGTTTGTGTGTGTGTGTGTGTATGTGTGTTATGTATGTGTATATGTGTGTGTATAAAAACACTTGAACTCAAAAAGATGACTCTTCCTGAATTCAGGCCCAGCATTCTATCCACTGTGCTACCTAGCTCCCTTTTTCTAAAAAGAAGCACCCAGAATTGAACACAGAATCTAATTAGTCTGATGATGGCAGTGGACAACAGGACTATTACCTCCAGCACAAAGGATACTATACTTCCACTGAAATAGCTCAAGATTAAGGTTGTTTTCAACCAGTAATGTATTATTAAGCACTTCCTACATGTCAGGCTCTGCTAGGTAAGGTAAGGTAAAGGTAAGGAGGGAGGAGGGAGTATATTTCAGCCATGGGGGTGAGGGAGCACTCAGTGCAAAGGCATGGGTACATGGGAAAAGGAAAGCCATGAGTGAGGAACAGAGGGAAGGCCAATTTGGCTAAATCACAGAGAGAAGGTGGGAAAATAATATTCAATGAGGCTGGAAATATGGGTTGGGACCAGGTTGTGTAGGGCTTTAAAAACTAAACAGAGAGTTTGTGTTTTATACTAGAGTCTCTGAGAAGTCACTGGAATGGACTGAATCACACATTCACATCTATGCTTAGGGAAAATTACTTTGGCAGCAACGTGGTTTGGGAAGAGACTTGAGGCAGTGTGACCAATTAAAATATGTTGCTACAATCAAGGTGAGAGGAACGCTTTAATTTTTTTCTTTTTTTTTGTGAGGGCAATTGGGGTTAAGTAACTTGCCCAGGGTCACACAGCTAGCATGTGTTATGTGTCTGAGGTGGGATTTCAACTAAGGTCCTCCTGACTCAGAGGGCTGGTGCTCTATCCACTGCGCCACCTAGCCGCCCCCGATCACTCTGAACTATCATTGTAACTGTGAGTTGAGAAAAGCAGTTAGTTGCATGTGAGATAATTTTAAGGTAGATATGGGAAGATTTGGTACTGATTGGATATGTGGGGTGAGGAGTACAGCGTAAGGTTGAGATTATGAAGCTGAAGCACTAGAAGGATGGTAATGCCTTTGACAGAGATAAGGAAGTCTGGAATAGGAAAGGGTTTGACAGAAAATATGAATTCAGTTTTGAACATGTTGAGTGTAAGATGCCTCTAGGATATCCAGTTTGAAATGACCAATAATCGATTATTATTATAGGACTTAGCTGCCACATTGTTTTGTGACTCATATTGTACTCAAAGTTCATTAAAGTCCCTCAATTTTTGTCACATGAACTACTTTTCTAGTCATGTTGTCTTCATCTCATACTTGTGAAATTGGGGGAATTTCAGACCCCTATCCAGAATTATAAATCTTTTCTCTATTAAATTTCATTTTTAATGAGAGAAGTGCACATTAAAACTGGTTTCACCATACATCCAGTAAATTGACAAAGATGGCAAAAGATAAAAATAGGTAAAGTTAGAGGAGCTGTAGACAGATAGGCACACTAATATATGTTTTGTGGAGCTGAGAACTGGTCCAATCATTCTGGAAAGCAATTTGGAATGATGTGAAGAAAACAACTTACGTGCCCATCTCCTTTGACCCAAAGGTCTCATTGTAAGACATACCTCAAAAGGGTGACAGAAAAGCCTCATATACATCAAAATATTTATAGCAGCACTCTTTTTTTAAAGTAGCAAAGATATGAAAACAAAGTAGATGCTCATTGGCTGGAGAATAATTGAATGAATTATATAAGAAATGG